GTATAGTTCCCTAAGATCTTAAAAGGAAGATCTTTCGACCAGGCGAGGTGATTGTGCCTGGCGGGCTTTCTGCCCAACAGTTGTCGTTGGGTCATCTCGACGTCCACGGTTGGGGGGGCGTGAGGACGCACGATCCAGGCTGTTGCCTGTCTCGGCGGATTCGTTCCCTGCCTGCTATAACAGGCGAGGGGTTGGACTAGTCAAATCAAGATGCGGTATCAAGTCCGGTGGTTTGCCCCGCCACACGAGCCGCGCTCTAGCCGGGCAAGCCAATCGCAAGCAACGCGCAACGCAAAGCGCAAGCCAAAGCAGCAAGCTGTTGGCAGGGTATGCCCAACAGTTGTTTGTTGGGATTTCCTATCCGTGTTAATTCGTATGTAAACTTCACATGTGCGATGTAGGGTTTTGTGACGTCATCCGTTGATTTGTTTTTCATCGATGGTCTATGTGAGTGCGCTGTCATGCTGTCTTTTGACTTAGATATATATTATTATCTAAGTCTAGATTCTGTGCTATTACTGAGAAATTATTGAAAAATCGAATAAACCTCTATTGTCGACCCAGCAGCTGTAGCCAAATGCCATTTAGCGCTCGTCTACATGTATAATAGAAAACCAAATTATATGAAATTGACGTAAATTTTAACACTTGTCAGTGTCATCCCGATACATTTTGATTTCTACTCTCTCTGTAGACAAGCGCTAAAGTGGCGTTTGGCTAAAGGCACAGGATTCTATGACCAAGACTCCATGCTTATCAGTCATACTTGCGACCACTCGACTGATAAGGCACATTGTTTATCCTTTCCAGAAATAGAATCATAAAATCTGCATCAATATAGACTGTCTTATTGCCTATTGTAATACATGACATTACATTATCAAGTCCAGGGGCTCTTCTGTCTGCATTTGTATCATAGTTTAACATAACAGTAGTATCTTTAGTCTTCTTTGTTACTATCTCTATGTAGACAGAGGTTTCAAAGAAAAGTAGGTTTTTACACAACATCAATATTCATGAGATCCGCGACATTTCTATTTTAGAATTGTAAGGAACTTCATGTTTCACGTAATAAAAAACGTAATGTACTGACTGTATTTTACGTTTTGATTATTGAAATGATGAGTATAAGATTAAAGTGTCTTTTCTATGTTTTAGGATTAAATGTGTAATATTAAATTAAGATTAATTTTAGGGAAGTTATCACAGGAACTACTTGTAAGTTGATGAAGCAGAAGGATGTCATCTGGTATTGCAGTTGTCAATAGACCACACTGATCGCCTATCATCACGTGATCCATCTGTTCGTTAGCTTCCAAATTCATGAAATTTAATATGTTTACAATTATCACAGTCCACTACCGAACAAGTACCATAATTTCCAATCTTGACAGGTGGCTTAGGTATCCCAGAATCGCAAATTTTTTTCTATTTTTTTTTATAACCTTGCCCTACACTAGGATTTTCTCCTGTGTCGTGGGTGCGTTTACAAACATACAAGCTCATACATGACACCCAGACCCGGAACAACAATCTGTGGATCACATAAAGAGTTGTTCCGTGCGGGAATCGAACCCGCGACACGTTCCGCGGCAGTCAGTTGCCCAACCACCACGCCGACCGTGCAGTCAGTCATTCAATCAACAACTAACACAATCCAATCTCCTCTATTTTAGAAACACAAAACCTAACTCTAGCTTCCACAGAACTAAAATAGGATCGTATTCTTGTGAACCGCAGAACAACCACACGTGACGCATATTAATTTAACTTTTAATGAGAGAGCCTAAATTCTGAAGACATTGCAACTGAGTTAATTAAGTTTGTTCTAAAGAACTTGTTCAGTACACACAATGTGAGAATGATGGACGAATTATGAACGAGGAATCTTAATGAGAATTGCAATGTGGTGTCTGTTTTGTTTTGCTAGCTATAGTTGTAGGGCGCAGAACAGATTTACAGTTAGTAGAAAATAATGTTGTAGGTATTAACTGGTTCAATGATTATTTGATTAACTCGTGGTATTTACTGAACGCAGAAGTACCCAAGACACAATGTGTTTTTATTGTGTCTCCTATACTGGCATACAAGAGGTTAAATAAATAGTAAGATAACTGAGTTTTTATTCCACACAAGCATTAGCAATTTGGTTATCACTTATAGAAGGGAGAAAAAAGAAAATGCTTTATTTCACACGCTAAATACAAGTGCTAATGTGCCCTGAACATGTTAGTTTATAAATACTAATGGGTACATCAGTACAGTCCCAAGTCTGCGAAGAAATGGGACCTGTTCAGCACGTGCAAGACATTGCCTTGCGCTCTCAAGCCCCTTAAGCGATTTATCGAAATAGTTAAGAGTCAACACATCAACACAGCATATAACACATATTGATACCCCAATTTGATCTTAAAAGCAATTAACATGAATAAAACCCATTATGCAACGAATAACGTTACAAAATCAGCACAGAATACATAAATAACACATTTCTGTATCGCAGGCAATGATATAAATCAGTGCTTTATTTACTCAAACAGCCAGAGATTACACAGGGGACTTCAAGAACGCTTTTCCAATAACAAGTGGCTAGAAATGAAAGCCTTTATAGGCCGTAAATAGAAAATTATTGTGGACTGGCCGAGGACGGCCTCACCGTATATTTAGAGACAATATTGAAGTGTCAATGTGATGACTCCGTTACGCAAGATGGCCGATAATTATATAAGATGTTCGCTTAATTGGATTTTCTCAGATGAATAAGGATGTTATGAAAATATTTAGCTATGAATATTATTTGGCGTTAATGTAATGAAAGGTAATGTAATTTTTTCTTGAATAATGGAAGGAAAAGAAATTATTAAGTCAAGTATAAATGTCGTGTTAAAAGAATAAACGCACCTCGTCTGTCTGTATGAAATGAACTCAAAAATTATCAAACTGATTTTCACATGATTTTCTAGAAGGAATATTTGAAGTTGTAGCGTATACTAAATTAAGTTTTGTGTATAATAGGCAAAACTAAATCTACACAAATCCTACTACTATCACTAGTTTAATCATAAAACAAAATAAGCGTAATAGAAACGCACTACCCTTTGTTTAATTTCTAGATATTAGAACCTATCTGTTTAAAGATCTTGTTTACGAAGTGAAAATCCACATGTTTGTTTACGAGGGCAATAAATCTAATGAAACGTTAGGAACTGGCGGTAGACATATTTGTTATTTAATCTTTGATCTTCCAACCGGGCCACTTCTTCAAAGTTCGGAGATAACAATCGAGCAAGTCTGAAGATGTTGTCCTCCAAGTTAATTGTAAGGACTTATACAAAGGGCAGCCTCGGTTAAGAAGGTACTCAAGTCTCAACGCCTGCCTATCGTTCGTTTTATTCTTTGACGTCTTCAAGACGAATTTCTTTTCATTCGTACGTCCAACTTTTATTTTTATTGTTTAGTTTAAGTTGGCGGAAAGTTTTCGACAAAAAGTGGCTTTCCGTTTAGCTTGCGATCAAACGAAATGAAAATACGCAATTCATTTCGTTAAAAAAACACTGAACTTTGTTTTCAATTTCATTTGAAGTTCGGAAAAGTGAAAAATTGAAGGATTTTTTTATGTGTTTGTTCGCTTTTTCCTTGTGTAGTTTCGATTGTATACCTAAATATAAAGATTATTTAATAAGTGTGATAATTCCCTATGTACCTGATGTTAAGAAGGTGATCAATGATCGTATTAAAAAAAATCAATTTTTATAGTATTTCTGAACTCATTTATAGTCAATTAAATTTTTTAATTATATATTGTTTACCAATAATACAAAAAACTAGGGTTTCTCTTTCCCGTTACATTTTCGAGAAATCCTTGAATAAAAAGTATCCCATGTCCGGCTCCTGGTTTTACCAAACTTCAGCCAAAGCAATTTAGTCGTTCTTGAATTAACATGACTTTTTTTAAACATAATATGTATAGATAAAGTACATTATATTACATTTAAGATACATTATTTTTGGAACAAAAATACATGTGGCGGAATTAAAACATAAAAAGGAATCAAGAAACTGGTACTTCTCATTGCATATAATTATGCCTTGTGCCAATGATATTTCAGTTGGGAAATAGGACAAATCGCAAAAGAAAACAAAAGTTTTTATCATTACAGTTTTAATAAATATATTATTGTTCATAAAAATATACATATATTTAAATATTATACAAAAATATATTTCACTTCACTGTTAAAAAAGTGTAAAGGTATAAAAACTAGTACTAATAGAGAACATAACAATAGAATCATTTAGAAACAGTAACATACGTGGTTTATACAAAGGCCTATAATACTGGGCTTGCACGATTCCCTGCACAGAACGCTATTGCACATCAATCGCGATCGACGAACACGCGAAACTGATTTCACTGAAAAAAAAATCTTCTTCAATGACAGAGTTTGTGACTAGCGCAGGAGTTTAGAGAATCCTACTTTGTCACAATTTTGTGAATTAATATGTATTATTACGTTTTTAATAACAAATACTACAAGATTTTATTTACATTATGAAACCGTAATATAATATGTAGACTTTTTATTGAAAGATATAGTTCTTTAATTATGATAGTGAGATCAAGGAGTATACATATTAAGCGCCGGTTTCGCCACCTCCATATAAGTACCTGATAAACTTATGTGACAGATAGTTCATATAAATTACGTTCTTAATTCGCATTTATCTAGTAGATAGCGGCTATCCAGATATTGTGAAACAGGGCTTAAATGTAATATCCATTTTTCAGTGTACATATACTTGAGTAAATAGGTTTTTTTAAGAGGGGAAAATCATCGAATTACTTCTCCCGCCTGGGTGAGGCGGGAGGGAGTGTCAGAGTCTTACTGACTAAAAACCACACCATTCCTTCTCCTGCGCTTCGAGCCAGAGCCCCGGTAACCCGTTAGATTCTCCGCGACGAGTAAATAGGATAAGGAGTAAAAGAAAATAAAAAAGTATATTGTATTAAAATATATTTAATAAAAATATGTTATACTCCATAAAAGATATACAAATTCAATGTACAAACAATTTAAGATTAATGTTTAATGTTACTTACAAAATACAAAGGTACAAAAATACTGTTATAAATTAAATGCATTCCAAATGGCTGATCTGTAAGCAATTAGGGGAGGCCAATGTTCAGCTTAGGGTGTCTTCTGGCTGATATGATGATGTTGAAGATGATGGGTATTTACAAACAAATACAAATGTCTTTCCAACAAAAACTAGGTCCACCGAAGAACTCGCACTTCTTCTTGCACGCTTTTTTAGTGCACGTTCCCTTTCGAGCAGCTCGTGTTGCACGCGATAGTTTAGCTTTTAAAAAAAAAACAAGCTTTTCAAAAAAGGAATAAAGTTCTACAACGGATTAAAATAGATTATAGAAGGAAGCATAAAAACTCCTTTATTAAAATAATTTAAAACGTAAAAATAAATAATAACGTCTCGTTTTTTTTAATCCCTATGCGGGCATTTAGGAAGAGGTGACCTTTCTAAGTGTAAAACAAAAGAATAGTTTATTGTATTATGAGTCCCATGTAATAGGGGGTGCGCTACCAACAAGTTCATAATAAAAATATAATCATTAGTAAAATATAAAAAAAAAATATTTAAATTGTTTTTTTTTTACCTTTTTCCGTAGTGTCGTCTTGGCTTACTTCTTTTTCTTCTTCGTTGAGGGCTCTGTACATTGGAGGAGCTGAGAATAAAACTTATTACATTCAATATTTCTTAATCTACATTTATCTTCGCAGTTTTGTTGTTGTAAGTCACTCTACGAGTTCGTGCTGAGCTAAGATATGTATTTTGGAAATACTCATTTTCGAAGGAATGGAAATTCATCATTGGAGAAATATGTAAACCACATTTTAGATTATCAGATTTTTTATAAAATTGTACCTTTTTCAGTAGTGTCGTCTTGGCTTACTTCTTTTTCTTCTTCGTTGAGGGCTCTGTACATTGGAGGAGCTGAGAAGAAAACTTATTACATTCAATATTTCTTAATCTACATTTATCTTCGCATTTTTGTTGTTGTAAGTCACTCTACGAGTTCGTGCTGAGCTAAGGTGACTTTGGAAATAATCATTGAATTTGAATTGAATAATCATTGAAACTGAATAAAGGAAATGAAATTCATCATTGGAGAAATATGTAAACCACATTTTATATTTTTGTAAAATTTTACCTTTTTCTGTAGCGTCGTCCAAGCTAATTTCTTTTTCTTCCTCATTAGCTCCTTCTTCTACGCCGGATCGAGCTAGAAATAGAAAAATCTCTGGTTAATTATTTTTGAAATAATAGTAAGTGTTCATTTTTAAACAATAAACAGCAACTTTTGATTCTAAAGGCTTAGCATATTGGCATCTACAGCCCTTGAAACAAAATCCATAATGAAACAACCGATGTTAGAACAGCTACGTTCAGGCTGATTGACTGATGCAGAGACCAGTACCAAGTAATCGGTTACACATGTTAGAAGGAGTTCACAAAGATGAATTAATATTGGAATACCATCACCATGTTAATAAAACATTTACATTGCAGGACAAGACCGTTTTAGTCACCAAAGACCAGACAGTATCTTTTTATCTAGACCTATCGTTAAAATATTCTTAGGAAATGCCTCTATTATGGGGCTATATATAGACGTTTTGTACGATAAAAATACAAAATTAGAAAGAATGGATTAGATACCTGGCTTCTTGGGTGGACCATAGCACCAACATTTACCATTTTTACAGTTGCCCCCTTTATAATCTAAGGAACGACACATACGGTCGCATACACCTTTAGTACATTTGACTTTTGCGCGTTCAGCAATGGGCACATCATTGTCATCTAAATAAAAAGTATTTATTTATATTATGAATGTATTTTGAATGTTTTGTAACAAGACAGCTATAGAACAAGACTGAAACTCTCTCTGGGAATAAAAATCTGTGGCCTAATTGTTTTGGATCTATGGATTTCCAGTGAACTCGAATATTATGATTATTTTGATTTTAATTATATTTTACCTTTTTCCAAGCTGACGTCCTGGTTAATTTGTTCTGGTTCTTCATTATCGGTGTCTTGTAACATCAATCGACCTGAAAATAGTAAATATCCATATTTACCATCGCCATGTTAATAAAACATTTATATTGCAGGACAAGACGGTTTCCGTCACCAAAGACCAAAAAGTATGTTTTTATTCAGACCTATCGTTAAAAATTTAATACTGTTCTTAGGAAATGCCTCTATTATGGGGCTATATATAGACGTTTTGCACGATAAAAATACAAAATTAGAAAGAATGGATTAGATACCTGACTTTTTGGGTGGACCGTAGCACCAACATTTACCATTCTTACAGTTACCCCCTTTGTAATCTAGTGAGCGACACATGCGGTCACATACACGTTTGGTACATTTCACTTTGGTAAGGTTTTCTGAGAATTTAGATACAGACATATCATTGTCACTCTTAGCTGTAACAAATAGAATTCATTTTACAAATGAAATTTATGAAACACGAGTTATGGGTTATGTACCTATATACGTAATGATAGACGAAAAAACTGAAAGAGATTTTAAAGCATCATCTACAGCCATTGGGACATTCGTTGAATTATCATCAGTGCTTGTAGACGAGTCTCGAAAGAAAGAAGACAAACTTTAGCTTTTCAGTGATTCTTGTAATTCTTTTATCAATGTTTTTGCACCTTGTACAATAATATTACCTTCATCTCTGTAGCATTTGCATTTGTTGTCGATACATTCACCGCGATTGTACTTCAGTTTTTTGCATACTAAGTCGCATAATCCTTGTTTGCATTTACCGTGAGTGTTATTCCTTGCTGGTTCCAGAACTGATGCAAAGTTTACTTTGGCTGGACCTAATACAAGACATCATGTTGTTTAATTTTTATAGAGAAATAAATATATACCTAGTTCAACTAAAAAAAACTTTACTCTGTGATAGTTTCTTAGAAGATGTTCTAGCAAATTCTATATCAATGATGTTCATTTGTAATTTTGGTTCATATTTCAATATTATTACCTCCATTTTTGTAACATTTGCATTTGTTATCGACACATTCACCACGATCGTACTTCAGTTTACGACAGATCAGATCACACAGTCCTTGTCTACATTTGCCGTGACTTTGATTCTTTGCTGGTTCCAGAACGGGTGCGGAGTTTTCGTCAACCAAACCTATTAAATAAATATGAAAACTTTACTTTGTTAGGTTTTTTTGCTGGCTACATTCCAACTGTATTATCGTAATGCAAAAAAGCAAACTATTTTCTGTTGAAGTTTTCAATGTATATGTACATATTTTATTGCAGAAGCCAAAATATAAATGTTGGGGTATAATTATTCAATCTCATAATTTTTCAGTTGCACATGTACCTGCTGGTAAAAAGCATTGGCAGCGACCGGCGATGCAGGCACCACGGGCCAATTTCATTGTACGACAAATGAACTCACAAGATCTGAGGTCACAATCGTTTGCAATAAGCTTTGCAGGTGTCACTTCATGGACGTCTGGAGTGAATGTCTCAACTATGGGAAACAAGATCAGGTTAGATTCAGAACTGATAAAGATAATACTAAATATAACCACTATAACAAAACAAAAGGTAATTGAGGTAAGAAATGTAAAAGAAAGCTACAAACGAATTAAATACTAAGCTATAAAATGAAATACAAATATCATTATAAAGTGGTTGGCGGTCCGTGTGTCATAGTAACTCCTGTATAGAAGATAGCTGATCTGTAGTAGACATTACCTCCTGTTTGAAAAGAGGCGTTGCATCGACAGATAGTGTTGCTTGTGTCCGTGGGGCCACAAGCACCACCCGGAAAGCCAATTTTGCGACATTGTTGTTCACATTCATCAGGGATGCAAACTAAATCTTTTGGTGACACAGCTGAGATGTTAATGGTATCTGATAGATATAAAATTTCGAAATTAAAGCTCATGTTAATCATTTTTATTTAATTATTTGTTAATTCAGCAAAATATTATGATGTAAAAGAAGGATAAGATTAGTATGACTGTGTACTAAACTGAATTAGTAAAGTGGTTTACAGTGTTTTTGAATCTATAATCTAAAGTTAATAATGATGATTATTAGAGACGTTAAAGTATTGCATGTCCATACCTTGATCACTAAGGAACTTGTCGCACTTGCAGCGACCATTTACACAGGCACCGCCGGGCAGCTTGAGTCTGTGGCAATATTGTTCGCAGGCAGACAGGCTGCAACTGCTCCTTTCAGCTTCTTCAGTTTCAGATAGAGGCTCATCTGAAATGAGAATATTTTGTTAATTCTGCTGATTGTAATTGCAGCAACTAGGTTTCAAGACAAACCATAATAAGTTGATACAGCTTTGAAGTACTAAGTTTTAAGTTCATACCTTCTAGTGATGAGAATGTTTCTAAGACAGAGGGTGATAATTCTATAACTGCATCTGAAATAAATTTAGCTATTAATTTGTGAACCATGATGGGATAAAAACAAACGATTACAGTTTAGTGAATAAAATTGGAAGTTAGAGGTGAGATTTCTAAGGAAAATGATGTAGGTACCTTCAGAGTTACGGAAGTTGTCACATTTGCAGCGTCCGTTAACACAAACACCGCCGGGGAACTTGAGTCTACGGCAGAGCTGGTCACAGGCGGTAGGGTTGCAGTCATTTGCAGAGAATCCATTCTCCAATTCATCTAAAACAATAATGATGATTGGAGTCAATAAACACCTGCAGTGTGACTGCACTCATAAAAAGTCGTTTGAAGGTGCATTTCTATTGATGGTGAAATTTTAAGTAGTGAAGAAGTCCTCTTGGAAAATGACAAAAAGTATAAAAAGAACTACAAATTGAACAGAAAATTAATAGGCACAGTATGTACTTGTATTTTTTTCAAAATTGTGTATATTTTAAAGCATATCAAATTTAAAATGGGTTATAATGTAAATTAATATTAATGTACCTTGATCACTAAGGAACTTGTCGCATTTGCAGCGGCCGTTCACACAGGCACCACCGGGCAGCTTGAGTCTGTGGCAGTATTGCTCGCAGGCAGAAAGGCTACAACTGCTTCTCTCAGCTTCATCAACCTCAGATAGTGGCTCATCTAAATTAAATAAAGAGTTTTTACACGACATTACAAAAAAAAATCAAAATTATGTCCTCAGTATCGTCCAAAAATAAATAGGGCAAATTCATAAAAAAGAAAAAATACTTAGTGCATTAGCAATTATTATTACCAACGAATATTTATTTGGTATCAATTTTATAAATAAATAAATAAAATAAAAATCATTTATTTCGGACATCTAATAGATCCATAAAATTAATTAATACCATACAGCATTAATACAATACCATCGCAGTTATACAAAACTTAGTCAAATTTTATTATTGACTTATAACATTAGTTGAATTTACCTTCGAGTGAAGAGATTGCTTCTAAATCAGACGGCGATAATTCTAACACTGCTTCTGAAATAAAAAATATGTTATTTTTAAAGTAAACCTACTACTAAACCTACATAAAGTGTGGGAGAGCCATGCTTCAGCACGAAAGGGTCGGCTCGACCGGAGTGATACCACGGCCTCACAGAAAACCGACGTGAGACAACGCATGCGTTGTGTTTCATCGTGTGAATGCGATTACCCTCTGCTTTTTTTCAATCTCCCCAATCCCTGAATTCCCAACAATCCTCCAATTCCTAATCCCCAAAAGGTAACACCTTTGGCAAACAAATATGTAACGCCTCTGGTATTCCATGGATGACGTCAGTTGCTTCCCATCAGGTGATCCGTCTGCTCGTTTACTGGCTTATCCCGTTAAACATATATTTATATGAACTATATATTAACGTAGTATATAATACTATTATAGTAATGTAGTAGATGCCTTGTGGATGAAATGATGGTGGTGATAATTATTATACCTTCAGCATTATGGGTATGGTCACATTTGCAATGACCTTTCACACAGGCGCCACTTGGGAACTTGAGTTTACGACAACGGTCATCACAGAATATTGGGTTGCACTCAGTCTTTTTAACCACAGAGTCAGTCTCTGGACCGTCTAAGTTGAAAAGAATTAGTTTAGAAAATAAATAAATATCCGTAGGAGAGAATTACGAGCCATCATAGAATGAATACAGAATACGAATTATCATAGTTTAGTTTGTCTTAATAAAAGTTTTGTACATACCCTTAATTCCCAAATCCTCTAACTGACTGTAGTTTGATATTTCAGGTTCAACATCTGGAAAAGATTAGAAATAAAATATTTTAATTCTAATAACATAATGTCTAATTTCCAAAGTTGTAGTATGGTTCCTCAGTTACTGTAAATGGGTTTTCTGCCGTAGTGACTGGTTAAAAATAAAAAAATATAAATAAGTAAGCAGAGATTTCGACATATTTTTAAATAAAAAGTTTATTATACAGTACCAAATTTTCTGTTGATTTTTAATTTTTGAAATCGATTTGTTGTATATAATAAGAATGCAATCAAGTGTAAAGAATACAATCAAATATCCTCTAGGACATTAATAGAGAATCTTGGCAAACAACTACTTTATAGAGAAAAGACTTATAATGTACTATTATCTTATCTTCTTACCATTTTCACTGAGGAAGTTGTCACATTTACAGCGTCCGTTAACGCAAACACCACCGGGGAACTTAAGTCTACGGCAGAGCTGGTCACAGGCGGTAGGGTTGCAATCTTTTTCATTACTCTTCACACCAATATCAGGATCATCTGTTTAAAAATAAAAATGATCGTATTAAATCACGCGTCAAACTCCTTGAAGATGGTTGTAGAGATGCACTATTAATACAGTTCCGGAATAATGAAAATTTAATCTAATTAAAACATCGAAAAAATCTCCACAGTACCTTGTTCTACCTGGGAATCGGAATTTGGCTGTGAAACTGGACCAACGAGGCAGAGCAGGAAGTGATAATATTGATGATTTTATAAACATTTATAGACACAAATGTGTCATGGGATGACAAAATATTGCAGACTGAAAATATTTGCCTGCTAATTGGAATATCAATAACAGCCAGCCAAAAATAGCATTTAGGTAACTTAGTTGCAGACTAAATGTAAAAACAGTAAACAAATTCATTCAAAATTTGAATGCAAACCACTAAAGGCTAAAAATAAAAAAAAAAAACTCAATTACCATCAAAGACGTTGATGACCACTGAAGCGTTTGCTATACAAACGGTCGCTAAGACAATTATGAATTTGGAGTACATTATTCCGTTGGAAAGACTAGTACTTAATCCAATGAAGACCGATACTGGTACTGCATGATTACACCTTCCTGTGGTTACTATATATAGGGGACGATGCGGCATTGCGACATAGGGACTTCACATAACCGAGGAATATTTTATTAGTCATTAATCCATATTCTTTGTTGGTGGTACAGATAAGTAATTATTGCATTACAAATTGATTAAAGGATTATGAAGAAAGTTTCTTGCACAAGAAGGTTGTTATCAGGTTCAACGTGGGAACTTCGATAGAGTTATCTAGGTGATTGGAGTGTGTTTGTAAATATTAGCAGCAACTGTTAATAAAGAGAAAATGATGAAAATAATTGTGGATGAATTTATTCACAACATAACATCACGCCTTTTATCCCCGAAGGGGTAGGCAGAGGTACACACTATGCCACTGCACAATGTAACACCCACTTTTCACTATTTATGTTATAAGTCCCATGTAATAGGGGGTGAGCCTATTGCCATACATCCGGCACAATTCCTGACTCCGTGTTACTATTTAGAATTTTTTAAAAACCCAGTAATACTTTGCCCGTCCCGGGAATCGAACCCGAGACACCTTGCCAGTCGAGAGTAGTGAATTTATTCACTGTTATGATTTTCTTAGAAGTATTACATTTTGCTGTACTTCGGTTATAGTTTTTTTATGATGGGTAAAAAGACACCTTGTTCTCGGGAAAAGAATACCTCTATATGTGGTTTCGGCTTCCGACTTAATTTCAATTAACCTGGTGATCACTCCATGCACCTAATAAGGTGGTGGGGCCTTTAAATAGACCAGCTTTAGAGTCTCCATTGTGCAGGGCACATCCCTGCTTCTGTAGTCTAGCATTACCTGCCAGTAATGCAAAACTTGACGAATGTATGTCAATTATGTTGTGATAAGAAAATATTTACGTGCAGTAAATTACTTGCACTGTCATGTTAGAAGCCTATCTATAACATTCTACACTTTGTTAATACATATAATAATATCAGACCTATTATAGGTGAGTCAAGGCTATTTTAATAAAGTACATATTTTTCACTGTTAATGTCCATAAACTCGCATTGAGCAAGCGTGGCGATTAATGCTCAAACCTTCTCCGTGTGTGAAGAGGCCTTTGGTTAGTAGTGGCCACTTATGGGCTGTTGATTTTTTATGTCCGTACATACATACCTATATCACATGGCACATACATACATACATACGTCTAACACCTTTGTTCCATAGAGGTAAACAAGAGCTGCGAAATGTCACTAACTCCAATTCTTGAATACTTTTTTCTTGGCTTTACATTAATGTATTTTATAAGTCATAAACATATTAATTATTAGGTATACTGTTGTTAACCATACCTACCCTTGTGTTAGTAATCCCATTGAGTGTCGGGAAAGAACCTTCTTCCAAATATTTGTTTATAAATTAGTGATACAATACAAATTTGAACTGCCTTACACGGCTTTTTAATCGACTATTAGTATTTAAATAAACAGAAAACGTTATCACAAGGAATCCAAAAACAGGTTTTTCCGCTGTTAAAAAAATATGCATAAACATTTTTACTTTTAGCCACGAGGCGGCGCGGCGCTTTTAGCGAACTGAAGTTGCCTTCATTCAACGGCATGAGTCGATCGGATCGTCTCATCAGTTCGATGAAGCTGTGCAAATAATACACAATATTTACTGCACAATGTGCAAAAAATACCCAGTGAAATTGTTTTATTTACAAGTCACAATTTAGTATAAACAATGAGAGTGAAGTTTTTTAGTTTATTTATCATAGTTCTTGTGATATTAGGCTTAAGCATACAAGGTATGTATAAGACTTGCGTTTTGTTGACGTTTAATTCAAATAATTAATAAAATTAATATCTGATTCATTGGTTCCACTAGGTCATAAAAGAGACAACGATATGCTTTTGTTTCACATTGAATGTACCTATACGTATTTTATTTAATAACTTTATGATCTGTATACACCAGACCGGTAAACAAAATTAGACTTTATTTTTATGTATATAAAGTAACAAAGTAGTCATGAATCTGTGTATTTACATTTATCTGAATAGGTAGTTCAATTTTAAGGAATAAAATCATCGTAATATTTGTGTTAGATAAATGATTTTCTTATCAGGTTTAAAAACATTCTGGAATTCATTCGCAATGTCATAGGTCCGTATGAATAACGTAGCCGGTAACCTAATACTACGATTTGTATATGATGATATTATTGTAAGTGTATTATTTTTGTTATGTACTATAGGTGTTACCTAAACACAACTATGTCTTCATATATGGAAACGGACATTCAAAGATTTTCATGAATATTAAACTTATGAATGGTGTAAACTCTTGTTTTAACTAAATTTTACTTTTCTTTATTGTTTTTTATTATAATAATATGACAGTTTTCAGACAGACAGGATTTTCTGCCGTTGTGACTGTTTAAAAAATAAATAAATGATAAGGCGTAAAATGTAGGTATATTCCTGATGAATAGGTATGAATTTTAACCTTGATTGTCTCTAATAAAGTTTGACATAAATATAAAGGGCAGACAGATGGTATTTGTTACAAATGTTCTTGGTATTATCACAAATTAAATGTATTTCCCCCCCTTAGGAACAGAAACCAATACATCTGCAATAGAATTTCAACTTAATTACAAGATAATATTATAATAATGTTGTCAACTGTATAAAAACTAATCATATTTACTATCAAATACACTGGCACAATTCTGTACTTTCAACTTTGCACAGCTCGATAACCGAACCTAAGACAATTTTACTATTGATAGTTCAGTTAGCTTCACGACCTTCACTAAGTGGACAGGTCATTGCGCTACATACTGAACTGGAAGCGTATGTGTTTGTTTACTAGATCGATAACATGAATTACAATGCATGTTCCAAGATTCGAGCTACTGAACAGACACCATTTGTCTCGGTCTATATGACCGATGGCGTATCTAGTTACTTGTAGGTCTGTGTAGAGAATGTAGTCTATTGAAGGCATAGACATGTAATGCTATATTCTATGTAAGCTCACCCCTTGTTGTAAACATAGTAAATATCTAAATAATTTTAACTAGCTTTGTTAGTATAAGTCCTGTGTGGGCCTCAAAGAGCCAACAGATCACCACGGATGGGGCCCAATAGGGCTGATGCCGATTCGTAGTCGCGGAGAACCTAACGGGTTACCGGGGCTCCGGCTCGAATTGCAGGAGAAGGGACGCGGTGGTTTTTAGTCAGTAAGTAAGAGTCTGACACTCCCTCCCGCCTCACCCAGGTGGGAGAAGTCATTCAATGATTTTCCCCCCTAAAAAAAAGTCCTGTGTAGTATGACGTGAGTTCATTATCGGACACAATTTCAGACTCCATGCTTATTACTGTACAAAATTTTCAATTAAAATTGTAATTTATGGATTAACAAAGATGAATGATTATGTAACTTTTATAACTATTGGTATAGGTACTAGTTCAAATGAAATACCACTGTATAATACGATGTCTGGTTATATATAGAATGCAGAAAAAAGAACTATAGAGGTAAAAAAAAAATTTTCTTAACCATGTCTATTTTCGTTCTAATGACTTCATAGAGGATAATTTATTTTAATTATTATTGGAATATCTGTATTGTTGTTTATATAACCATCTACAATACCAAATGAATGAGTAAATCCATATAATTTTGTTCATTGCATATATTACACATTTTAGAAAGATAGAGAAAACTAAGTAGAGATGTTTTAAATTGAATAGGTATACCAGGAACCAGTGACCCTCTTAATGTTTTCTGGGATTGAGTGTATGGTTTTAGTTAGTAAGAGTCCGACATACCCTGCTGTCTGACACACATCGTCTAGACAAAGGGTATCCATGAGGATTTCCACACGTTAGAAAAAGATATACCAACAATAACGGCTATATAACACTCGAGAATCATACCCAAATGTTAATTATGTACGCCGACATTACAGACGATACCATTAAAATAGGAATCTAGGAACTATGGATTATGAAACAATTCAAATAAGCACCTATCAATAAAGTATAAATAGTTTAAGGAAAACAAGGATAACAACTTTATAAGGTAGCTTGTTAGACCGGTTTAAAATTTACTCGTAATTATACTCATAAATATGTATCCTAAAGCCGATCAATAGTATACTAGGATTTAAAAAAATATATAAAAAAAGTACCCTTAACCGACGAGCATGCATGAAAAGATTGATGACTGTTAATGAAGCGAAAGAGGTATGTAAGAATCGTAATAATTGGCGTTCCTTAGTCTCTGCCTACCCCCATGGGAGACAGGCGTGAAGTTATGTATGTATAAAAAAGCATAAAAAGTTTAAGGAAAAACAAAGATAACAACTTTATAAGGTAGGTCGTTAGACCGGTTTAAGATTTACTCGTAATTATACTCACAAACATGTATCATAAAGCCGATCAATACTATACTAGGATTTTTTATTATCGCTACATAGTATAAAACAAAGTCTATCCGCCGTCTGTCTGTCCCTATGTATGCTTAGATCTTTAAAACTACGCAACGGATTTTGACGCAGTTTTTTTAATAGATAGAGTGATTCTTAAGGAATGTTTATAGGTATAATACATGCATATTGCACCCGTGTGATGCCGGGGAGGGTCGCTAATTTATATATATTTTTAACTGACTTCAAAAATGGAGTGTATCTGTGTATATGTATGTATATTTGTGTGTGATTATCTCGCTATTGGCTGAACTGATTTTGATGCGCTTTTCAGAAAAGTGTGTTACACTTACGAGAAGGTTTTAGTAGAGGTATATTAATTAATACGACTTAAAAAAAAGGGGGCGCAGAAGTCAGTTTTTTTAACCGTCGTTTATAAAGAATTATTAACGTATTATATACAATGCGCTGGTTATATAGAGCGGTTTGTTAGTTTGATTCCTGGACTAGGCGATTCATGTTTAGGATTGAATTTCTTTTACAAATTCTTAAATATCATACAGTCTGGAGTGCTTGGGCAGCAAGGAAAGTATATAGATGTAACATAAATAATAACATCACGCCTTTATCCCTGAAGGGTAGGCAGAGGTGCACATTACGGCACATAATGCCACTTTACAATGTAACACCTACTTTTCACTATTTATCTGTTATGAGTGCCTTGCCATACATCGGGCACAATTCCAGACTCTGTGCTACTACTGAGAATTCTTAAAAAAACCAAGTATTACTTTGTCCGACCCGGGAATCGAACCCGAGACCCCTTGCTCAGCAGTCGTATATACGTCGTCGAATAATGATTGTCTGGGTTCAACACTCTAGTTAGCAAAATAAACACCTATATAACGTTAATCGATTACAAAATTCACAATGATGCATTTGTTTACAAGTATTTGTTATGATTTCGCAATCGATTCACCCTCTATTAATCTGACTAAAGAACAATGTGGTTATGATTGTGACAATGTTGAATCACTGCAAGAGTTCTGCTAATCACCCAATGTCCGTAGAATAATTAATCACATTGTTTCTTTTCTAACCGATATCCGAGTGTTATCAGTAATTTTTATCAATTTCCTCGAAGTATGTATGTACCTAGTAACGCAATTTGTAGTTATCGCAAATAAATTAATCCTTTGATTGTTAAGAAATTATAATCTTGTTTATGCAACCGTTATTATCTCTTTCTATGTCACCCAAAGGTTAACAGAAGATAACGATAATACTGAACGTTTATAATTAAGAATTAAATTAAATATATATGGAAACATTAACACTGAATAGTACTTTAAAGCACCAAAGAGGAGGTATCACAGATCGCTATTAAACCTATGGGCTATAAAACACAAATTTGAGTGAACACTTAGAAGTTAAAGAGTAAATTATTAATAAATAGCAATTACTCTGGATTTTGTAAATAAAATAATCATAAAATATGATTCCATAAACGCAGGAAAGATGTAGGTTCCTACACCTCCATATTTATCAGATGCCAAAACGAAAAAAAATCAATAGCAAAATCGACTTCGAATATGAAGAAAATAACATTATTGTGTTAACTTCCTTCTCTTTCTTTCCAGGGTCCAACGCAGCCATAAAGAAGAAAAGAACATGCAGATATGATTGTACAGAGTTCTGCCAACTTCAGGGCACCAGCCACGGGGCCTGTCTAGGGTCTACATGCAAGTGTTCCTCACTAAACACTGTTGTTGAACAACTGCATGACTATGACACTTAATTAAAAATAAATATTTGAGTACATCTTCTGGGGTTTCATTTGTTTTATCCATGTTATTGGTACGATGGCTGATAATTTGATCTTTGAGGCGTTTTAGAGAGACCTAAAATTACATCGAATAATAATTTTATCTTCGTTGGACGCTCATAATTAACTTTGTATTAAATATTTGAGCCGAAATGCACTGTTGTTATATTGAAATCTGAAGTTTTTGACCCGCCCCGTCTTCGCACAGGTGCAATATGCATGTATTATACCTATAAACCTTCCTTCAGAATCACTCTATCTATTAAAAAACCGCATCAAAATCCGTTGCGTAGTTTTAAAGAACATACATAGGGACAGACAAACGGCGGATCCGACTTTGTTTTATATTATGTAGCGATGTACGTACGTACGTAAAGAGTGATATAAGTGGAGCGGGTCTATAACTAATATTCACTGGAACGTATTAATATGAAGTTCGAAATCATTTCGATGAATATGACCGTTGAAAACTTTCAATAAGTTGTATTACTATCACAATAACTAACCACAGTTGGTCTATTCTACAATAAAATTCACATTTATGACAACTATCAAACTTACTTAACTATCCTCTACAAAAGAGTACACCACAAACATTTATCGTCTTAGTTGCATCGCTCCGATAGGTGGTTGGAGGCGACACTGCATTCTGATTGGCTGGCTGTCGTAGCATGTTGCTAATATTCTCCATTACCCTCCATTTAGTTTCTGTGAATAATTAGCATACGACAAGGGTGCTTCGGGAGTGTACACACGGTGTTTGATGTGCTCTCCTGCACCTGTACCCAGTTTATGTTCTCTAGTTATTGCTATTATAATAATATGCGCTGTAATCCTCGGCGGGCTATGCACCTACATTTACGCTCCGGTTCATAATAATTATGAGAGCATTAGACTCTTGGTTTGAAGTAAACTCTTGCGAAAATGTGAAATTGGTTTTGTTTCTTGTTTTCAAAACGTATATGAAGCTTGATGTTTTGTAGGTACTTAAATTAATTTAACATGTGAAATAAAATCACTAAATTTTTCTTTTTTCTTTCCCTTTTTTTTTAAAAAAGTCGTTGCGTGGGTGCAATTTTATATACACATCACACCTAGACCCGGAACAACAATCTGCGGATCACACAAAGAGTTGTTCCGTACGGAAATGGAATCCGCGAAACGTTGCGTGGCAGCGAGTTGCCCATCCACCGCATCAAACATGCAGTCAAATATTACAGAAATACCAACACAAATTACACAACAAAGGAGTGTTTTAGGAGTTCAACTTGAATATATCAAAACAATCAAGGGCTACCCATGAGCGATAGTCAAAGAGCTTCCAAAGAATACTAAATACCTTAACTGAATACCTAACTAAGTGAGTATCTAATTTGAGGGCGATCCGCTCGGGGCGGGAACTTGCCAGTTACGAAGCATTTCCTACATTTACGTAGACAAACTTTTGGGCCGCTCTTTGCTGAGAATATTTATACAACCCTGGGTTGAGTAGACGAGCGATCTGTGAAACAAGTGACAAGTGAAACAAGTGAATTTATTTCTGCAAATAGGCTACAAGGCAGCACTTTTGCACGTCAATTTTATCAAGCGAACGATGAGGCCGACATTTCTTAACTGACTACTCTGAGAAGAAATGCCGAAACAAACTCAGAGGTCCGTCTCTTTTAAAGTCCAGACAAATGTTTATAAAAGATTATGTGTGAAAACCGTGCAACTTTTTTGTGTAGTGGCCTTTTGAGGAAAGAAGGCAAGGAAGGCATTACGCATGTGTCGGTGTACAATCAGCTCAATTAACAGGTGAGGCTGACTGATTCGACGAACAATACCAACCTAAAGAACTTTTGCGTGGGTCGCACAAATACTCAAACTGCTGACAGTTTGAGTATTTTGACGCAAAGACTGATATTTCATACTCAAATAGTCATCTAAAAGTAACTTTTTTGCTGAGGGGACAAAATCATCCAATGCTTCCTCCCAGTTTCAGTGAGGCGAGAAGGAGTGTCAGACTCTTACTGACTAAAAACCACCCCGTTCCTACTCCTGCTTTGAGCCGGCTCCAGGTGAATGTAAAATGGAACTATGACTTTTTGATATATGTACATACATTCTTATTTGAATGCTTAGTTATTCATGATATTCTACTGGGAAGTGAACTCACTTCTTGGTAATGGAATTGAGATTAGGTAATCTACAAATGATAAAGTAACAGTACCTACTATGTACCTAAAAGTACATGTTACACAAAGACTCCATATTAATCTGTATGTACCTATAATGTTATTTAACTCATTGCAAGCCGGTATTAGAGCAAAAAAAAACAGATCTACTTATTTGATAAATAACATTAACCTTAAAAAAGAAATGAAAAAAAAATGTCATAGTACTTAATTCAAGTCTTATTGTATATAAGGTCTAGAATTAAATGAAATACAGATTGTTTTTTTTTACGGCATAAGTCGGTAATCGAGCTGATGGATCACCTAATGGCAAGCAATCGGTGTCACCCATGGCCACCTAGAACACCAGAGGCGTTACAAGGCCTTTTGGGGATTAGGAGTTTGAGGATTGTTGGGATTCAAGAATTGGGGAAGGGGAGGGTGGTAATTGGGCCTCCTCACACGACGAAACACAACGCAAGCGTTGCTTCACGTCAGTTTTCTGTGAGGCCGTGGTATCACTCCGGTCGAGCCGGCCCATTCATGCCGAAGCATGGCACACACTTAAAATGTGTTCTGTAGTTATTCGTCTGGAGAAAACTTTGTGTTAATTTATTTACCACTCACGTAAGGAGTTGATACTAAGGATAAAAATTACTTGTATTTACTACATGAGGCTTAATTGTTTCAAGGTGTGTATTGTTAGGCCTGTCGATTTTCGTAAGATAAGACTACAAACTGATCACAAACTTGTAGTACTAGGACCAACACATCGATGTAACTATGAAGATTTTTATTTATTTGTAGGTACTCTATTTACAGTGAATGAACTTTAATTTATAGTCCTAGATACCTAGTTGATAAAAACAGTTCATTAATTTTGTATTGTGATGATTTTCAACATAAAAAACCTATTACTTCATAATTTTTATTACAAAAAGACTAAGCCCCTCATCACTTGCAGGCAATGCCACCAAAATATCATGTATTTATTTGAGTATTAACAAGATTATTAATTACATCATTCAATATTTTCCAATTTTCCGTAATGTGTAAGGTTTCAGAAAATATGCTGGTATAGCGGATGGTATAATAATAGCTCCGTGTTCAGACGGATCTCTTATTATACCCGGAGTGGTGAAGTAATATGATTGAAGCACCATCTTAGGACTATAGCTGGGGTTCGTACATTCAAAGTCTGGGGTTATCTTATAAGTAATGTGTATAGCTTTATCTTGACCTCCGTGGGGGTTAAAGTAATTGCGATCTGCCCAAAGCGCGGCTCGCTCTGCCGCCTGTTTGTCAGGGCAACGATACACTGTTATCCATTCAGATTTATTCTTCTTATACCATTTCTTCTTAGAAACCAGTCTGTTATTGCTTTTGATACCTTTCTTCCACTTCCTACCGCCATGCATTTCTATCACCCAGTAATTAGTGACCATTAGCGCCGCGTGACCTATCAATCCACCTCTACTTTTGCCTGAGATTAAAATATCCCCTGTTTTGACTGTTTGTTGAAATAGTTCCTTGTAGTCAGTACTCTCGCAGCTGTCACAGTCATCACAACTGTCACAGTAGTCACAAATGTCACACCGCGCGATGTTTTTGTCTTTGAACAGTGACTCTTGAGTATCTGGCATCATACCGTAGTTGTTCATAACTAACCACTCCTGATAAGATATTGGCTCGTCTCGTTCATCATATAATGTAATGTATTCTTGGTAGGTTCCCCTGAAGATGCCTCTATCATGTAGTGCGAATAACTCCAACGGATATTTATTGGGATCGATAATGCCTCTGTATACTCCAAAATTGTAGGCGTTCAGTGTCTCGTCCGATATCGTGGCATTCTGTCCTGGAAGCAATAAATTGTGGAACGCCATTTTATTGTTCATTCAGTTTTATTTTTGGAACAAAAAGGTGACGTATGAAAGGTATGGCAGCGATGTATCATTTGTTTGAACGGAATGCAGATGTGACCATACAGTGAGTCACATAGGGTCAAGCAGAGTTGTATATTTTATCCAAATTCTTGTATCAGTTTAGTGTTATAATATTTGGAACGAGAAAAGTCATTTACCTATCTTTTCAATTCGAAACCATTTTCAAACAGTTATAAATAACCTAATGATAATGTGGTCGTGAAATTGATGTTTTTATTTAAGACCTACTTACCAAATGTTTGTCCTTTAATACAAATGAATAGTGTTAATAGGACCACATTGATGTTCATTGGTAGTAGCTTACGTAGTTATTTAATCTTGGTTGGAGTTAGTTTTCAGTTCAATCAGTCAACGAATCTTTGTGTCTGTGAAAATGTTAATTCTGGAAGAAGGAAGAAAAAAATATTTTTATTGTATACAGCTCCGAGTTCATTGTCAATTTCCATGTTCATGAATGACAAATTAAAATCGAAAAGCTTAATAATACTAACCCAAGATCGAATTTCCTGTACTGTAGACCAACTTATTGCAAAGATATATATTTCAGCTCAATTTTTTTAAATCTCTTAGTGTATACGTATTTAAATTACGTTATGATAAAGTACGATTGTAGTTTTGGTAATTTTTATCGTTTTTGGTTATACCCTGAAAGCACAGTTTTCGAGAAAGAAAGAATCACAAAACACCACACACTCGATAATAAAAAAATAAGTTAAAACGGCAAATAAATACTAATTAAATACCACTTGTTCCATTACCCATAGAAAATCACTAATCATAATTGAAACAGTAATTAGGTAATTTGTATAATACAGGGGCTTAGTTAACAAAGTATAAAATCACAATTTTCAGTGAATGCTGTTTTTTAATACTGTACTTCTAAATTAACTAAAAATCGCGGGTTACTCACGTGAATATACTAAGAAAAGCTCTACTAGTTTCGAACCACAGGGGTACTTCCTCATGAGCAGCGTGCGCGTAGTAGTACTCTGGTAGTTAGTTAATTTAGTATGTCTCACGATAGTTATTATAAAAACATCTTTTAAATTTATTTAAAGACTTGAATATTTTGGTATTTATTAGATTAATTACATGTGAATCCAATACAAGTTGGTAAAAATTCACTCATTCAGTATTTGAAGACCTGCAATATGAATCTCGTGGACAGTTGATCTGATAAAGGGTCTAATATTACTGGGGCCTATGTTCAACAGTTTCGACGATCAATTCAATGCGATTTGATAATAAAAGAAAAGAAGTTATGTTATTAGTTAAATAGTTCTTATTCCAAAGTATCAACATGTAATGGAAAATGTATTCATTCAAATATTTATTCACAGAACAAAAAATGATTTGAAATACTAATATTTTCCTTTATTTACCAGTCCGTAAGGGGAGAGGAAATACGATGGTATAGTAGTAGGGATGATTATCTTATTGAACGGATTCTTTATAACTGCTTTCTTACCAGTTCCGTAGTAATAGGCTTGAACGACAAGCTTGGAACAATAACTAGGACTTATCGATTTGAAGTTAGTAGTCAACTTATAAGTAACATGCACGGTTTTTGTGGAACCACCAGAAGGATTGTAGTATCTGTGGTCAGCCCACGTTGCAGCTTGCTTGGCAACCGCGCTGTCTTTGCAACGGTAAACGGTCGTCCAATCAGAGGCATGCTGATTAAACCACTTGTCCTTCTGAATTTGTCTATTATTGTTCGGAATTCCATTGTTCCATCCTTTTCCTCCAGGCATCTCTAAAACCCAGTTATCTGTAGTCATAATAGCTGAATGACCTAATAATCCTCCAATGCCTCTGCCTGTGATCAAAATGTCACCCTTTTTTACCACACTCATGAAACGCCTCTTATTGTCTGCCGTGGAACGTTTGGCAATTTTCCTTTGATACAGTGACTCTTGTGTGTCTGGCAAGATCCCGTAGTTGTTCATAATGAGCCAGTCCTGGTAGTTTAGTGGTAAACTGTCATTATATGCCAGGTATTCTTGATACACGTCTTTGAAGATGTCTTTCTCGTGTTCCGCGAACGACTCAAGTGAGTATGTTTCGGGGTTGATAATGCCCACGTGCACACCAACACTGTATAGGGCCGTTGTTTCGTTTGATATCAAGTTAGTCGGCTCTGGAGACAATGTCAAAACGATAATAAAATTTCCGCAACAGTAAGACGGTGGAGACGTCAGCTATGCATTAAATATTTTTGGAAGTTTAGTGAAACATGTGTGGGGATTAATAACGATCCAGAAAAATGAGACAGCGGACAATATCACAATGTTACGACGACATACTATTATTGGGCATTAGGGCATAGGACAAGTGATTGTGATGGTACGTATAGCTAAGAGTTCATGTCCTAATCTAATATGATCTTGCAAAAATCTCCGTACAGAGACTATGTAGTCTCTTTTCCGGAAACGGTAAATTAACACGTAAGTACACTATTATACAAATTGCAGCGAGTCAACCTAAACTGCATCACAGAAACATTCCTTGCCAATTGAGTAACAATATATTTATGATTTTTGGTAACTCTGACTTACCTAAATTGAGGTCTTCATCCAAACCTTGGGATCCAACAGCGAATAAGAGCACAAAAATTAAAATCTGTCTTAACTCCATAGTGATATGTTAGTTATCTGAATGATGAGTCTGTCAATTATCACCTTTATATACAAAGTAATTAGGTGATATATACAGTGTGTAAGTAAACAAGAGTACAATGTTCTAGATCAGGGGATGTACTGAGGATAAGGACCGACCTCGAATCATACAAATTTTATAATAGCACTTTGCGGAAAGAAACTCAGTGTATGTCAGCATGTGTATTTGTTTGTTGAAATTGTGTCGTAATCGTATAGTATTTATCGATTGTTATTGAAGGGATTATGTTAACTCACTCTTACAACATTTTTCGTACCATTCATTTAACGTAATTTATTCAGGAACTGTACTAGTTCTTGACAGCTTTCTGCATCTAACAGAATAACTAGACGCTTTTTATGGGCAGCAGCATCCCTAACTGTATCTTCAACCTGTCTGTTAGGCATGGATTTGAATGGATTTTAGGTTAACTCAATGTTAGCGAGAGTTAGAGCCGAATTAAGGTTTTACGACAATGTCTAAATAGCAAAATAATCTTGACTTTAAGAAGTTTTTTTAATAAATATTGTACTATTTTCTTTAGAAAATTCATATTGTATATTGTACGTTCCTTTACTTTACAGTTTAATAAAATATGGTTTCGTTTATTATCCAAGGTATTATAACAGACGAATCTCGGTTATTTGTAGTGTATTTTAAATACACTATTGTCAAGAAGCATGTGCTTGAAATTACTTCTACACAACACTAACTTAACCTCATTATAAAGTCTCGAAGAAATTGAAAGGATTTTATCTATACAGTGTACACAAACTGTTAATATTAATACTGTAAAATGTCTCGATGGTCGAGTGGTTGCAAGTGCGACTGTCGGGAAAGGGGTCCCGGTTTCGATTCGCGGGTCGGGCAAAGTATTACTGGGTTTTATAAAAATTCTTAGTAGTAGCATGGAGTTTGGAAATGTGCCCGGTATATGGCAATAGGCTCACCCCCTATTACATGGGTGCTACATTGTACAGTTGGCATGAAGTGCCATAATGTGCACCTCTGCCTACTGCTTCGGGGATAAAAGGCGTGATTTTATGTTATGTAAAATGCAAGCATTTTTACCATAGTGGCATTCTTTTAGCTACATTAAAACAAGCACGTTTTTGAAGAACGTGCTAAAGAAATTATATACACCTAGGCTGGTTTAGTGGTGATCGTATGCTCACTGTAAAGGAAATATTGGGTTCGATACCCGGTACAACAAATAATTACATATAGGTATTTTTCGAAAATTCTTAAATGGAGTACAGAATTGTTAGCGGCGGTGGTAGTAGGCTCACCTCTTATGACATGGGCTTATAACATAACTAATAAGAAGTTTAATGAATATAGGTATGTATCTATGCTACCCGAAGTAATAAATATTTTTCTGAACAGAAATATCACACCTCAAATCTCTTAGTCAGTAGTCATCATCATCATAACATCACGCCTTTTATTCCCGTAGGGGTAGAAGAGGTGCACATCACGGCACTTAATGCCATTGTACGATGTAACACCCACTTTTCACTATTTACATTATGAGTCCCATGTTATAGCGGGTGAGCCTATTGCCATATACCGGACACAATTCCAGACTCTGTGCTGAGTACTAATTTTTTTTTTAATACTTTGCCCGACCTGGTTATCGAACCCAAGACCCTTTGCCCAGCAGTCGCACTTGCGACCACTCGGCCAATTCAGTAGTTAATCTTTTATCATCTATCATAACTACACCGAGGCAATGAGCTAACATTGATACGTGATTAAAATCGTCAACACATGTATACGTGATTATTTACCATACTCTCTTAGTTATGAATCATGAATTATTACAAATTTATGCATATATACAGCTATATATAACTAATCACTTCCCTAAAATGTGTCATCTATTGTGAAGTCCGCATTACAAAGAAACTGCGTTGTTTGCAGTACATCCCCTATTCTGTAATCTCGAGTGGATTTCCTAATTATAAGTGTAAGTGCATATAAAATGGGACGAAACAGGTAATTAATTACATTCGAAGAGACACATCATCATGGAGTACATGAAAGTGTTTTGTGTGATCCTGCTGGCGATGGGATGTCAAAGCATGTCTTTGACTGAAACCCTCGATTTTGGTAAGATATTTGTTTGTTTATTTTGTTGACGTGTAAAAATTGTTCATCATTCTCTTCTGGTTTCCATTTTCTCACCTTCACTGGTTTTGGTGACCTTGATTAATTAACTAACCAATTGTCGAGTATTTCTTAGTGTGACTAGAATAGCAAACCTGAGCCATACAGTCGGGCATTGTACTGCCCGGGTACCTATTTATATAGTTCCCAAAACATTCGGTAAAATAAATATATTATACTTTTATGGATATGGGGTGTTTATTAGTTGTTAATTCTTTTCTTTCTTCTAGGACCAACAGAAGTGATTTCAAATGAAACGGCAACAGCCTACCATCTCGGTATCGACATGGGGATCATTGACCCTGAGAAATATTCTCTCGAATCGTTCGCACACGATGAGACCAAAGTCTTCAAGGACACTTACAACGAATACATGGCAATGAACTGCAGCCATCCTTTGGACTACCAAGAATGGCTCATCATGAACAACTATGGAATACTACCAGATACCAACGAGTCTATGTTCCAAAGAAAAATTAGCAAACGAAGCACAGCCGATAACAAAAGAGCCTTTATAAACACCGTGAAGAAAGGAGACATTCTGATCTCCGGTCGAGGCAGTGGAGGATTGTTAGGTCACGCAGCCATCATGACCTCTGATTACTGGGTCCTCGAAATGCCTGGTGGTGAAGGTTTCATGTCAGGTATCAGAGACAATAACAGACAGATTCCTAAAGACAAATGGTTTGACGAACACGCTTCTGATTGGACTACTGTGTACCGTTGTCCTGATAACTCGGTCGCTCGTCAAGCTGCTGGCTGGGCTGACAGGAACTACTACAATCCTAATGGTGGATCCACGAAGACTATTCACATAACTTACAAGATCACTCCTGACTTTTCTTCAAAGAATCCGAGCTATTGTTCCAAGCTTGTCGTTCAAGCCTATTACTACGGTACGGGTTCGAAGAGTGTTATCTACATTAGGGACAAATCCAATGCCATTATCATTCCTACTACCATTCCATCGTACTTCAGATCTCCTTATCTATTAGTAAACAAAGGGAAATATTAATCCTTTATGTTCTATTAATGCCTTTTGTCAGTCATTACTGTTATTACCCGACTGTAGAAAGGGTATGGTTATTGCTCAATATTGCATTTATTATTTTTTGTATTAGTTTCATAAGATTTATTAATGTTATCTTTAAGTAAAAATAAATTATTATTCATTAAGAATAATTTTATCTTCATTTATTGGGTTCCCTTTCGCATGATTATTTTTAAAATATCTTTCCAAACATCAATTGAAATTATTCTTTTTCATAAACTACGTTTAAAAATACCGAATTTGAAGTCGCTAAATTAATACCTTCTCCTAAGTGTATCAAAAACTTTTTAGAAACCGCATCAAAATCGGTTCAGCCAATTGCGAGATAATCGCGCACATACATACATACAGGTCAAACTGAGAACCTTCTTCTTTGTTGAAATCGGTTAAAAAGCATGTCATTAAAAGGCATAGTCAAATAATTAATTAAATTGTTTATTTTATTAAAAAGGGACATATTTACATGAATAGTATCATAATAACGATTTGATTAGAGCTCAGTAGTTTATTTGCATGAACTAGGTTGGACCTGTGTTTCAGACTATTCAGTACAATATATTTAATTTTAAAGTTAGGTATAAATAAATTAAAGTATAAAGTACTTAAATAAATCTTACATAACATAAAAGTAAAAGGTAAAAACAGCAAGTTAGCAGATAATGAAAAGTAATAATCGTAACTACACTATTATTTACCATACCACACAAACAATTCATTAAATAATTAAAACGATGACATTTTGAGATAAAGACATGAACTCAAAATTAAACTATTAGACTTGACGGTGGTTATTCGTGAAATGCAAATACAAATCCGCCACAATCCCAACTACTTGATGATCGACAATCTTCAGAATTTAATTAATTTGTTTAAACAAATTGACGGAAGCTATTTTGGTTATCCCTAAGGATCTCAACCGTTTGAGTGAACCCTCGAGTTCCTTAATTGTGTATTTATAAAATCTCAGACAATCATTAATATATTTATTTATTTCAATTTCATACAACAAGTGCGTACAGGTGGACTTAATGCCCTGGGCATTGTCTACCAGTCAACCTTTAAGCTGTGCAGAGATGAAAGTAGCAGGTGATTTAAACCTTTATAAATAGGCAATGTACCAGTATAATAAATAACAAATCTCACAATCATAATATTCAATAAATATTATACATATTTGAAAACTTATACTTACTTACATATAACAATAATTATGTATACAATATTAAAGTAAATTAAATTACAATAAATAAATAAGTAAAGAAAAAGGTTTTCTTAATTTTTGAATTGATTACTGTTGTCAAATAGTCTCTGGTTTTATTAAACGTCAACAATATAATTTTCCGTTATAAAATTAATGGAAGAATAAAACTACAAATGTCGTTTCTTAATTTTAAATGTGTTGGTTACATTAGTTTTATTTCATTCTAAATCATAAGATTTAGACATTTAGTATAAATATATAAATATAGTAAGATGTCGAAACTGTATGCATGCATGACAGCAAATAAAAAAAAAAGAAAAATGACTTTCAATATTGTGCATCGTTATCGTCTTGACTTATCATCCGTTTTTTATAAAATCTTAAATAAGACATTTATTAGTCTCATTCTTTTCCTACAAATTCTTCTCTTCTAGTAATTATTTTGAGTTAAAAGTTTATTGTAATCCAGATGGGGCCCAATAGCGCTGATGTCGATACGGAACCGCGGAGGACTTAACGGGTGCATGGCCGCGTCGAGGTGTCGGCTCGAAGGGCAGGAGTAGGAACGAGGTGGTTTTTAGTCAGTAAGAGTCTAGCACTCCCTCTCGCCTCACCCGGGCGGGAGAAGTCGTTGGATGATTATCCCCCCTCAAAAGAAGGTTATGTAGATTTTATTGTCTTGTAAATTCTAATAAAGGACACCATAGGTAGGAAATAATGGGATATAGATACAAAGGAAGAAACAGCAAATATACCTACTATATTCGATTCAAAGAAAAGTTTTAGAAAATTGCGAAATAGTGTTGCTTTCTTAAAAGGTTTGAGTACAAATGAATTCAACAAACACATTCCATGTATTAAAATTAAAATGTAAAACAGTTTATTTCATGTTTGACTTACAACTAATAATACGAACATGGTAAGACGAGAGCTTCAAATTCAATACAAGATTAAAAATTACACTACAAGTGACTATCGCACACATTGGCATCCACCAAGGGTGCAGTAGCCACCTGACTTGTAGCCTCGTTGTCTGCAGCTAGCACTGCACTGGTAAAACACGCATCGGTTCGGGAACTCTGGTCCTCGGATCGTTTCTCTTTTTACTATGTGAGCTGCCTCTGGAAAAATTAAATATAGTTTATAAATATTTTGTAAAATCTGTAAGTGTAATATATTTTGTTTCACTTATATCGTATAGTAAACAAATATGTATGGTTTAAAATAAATGTCGCTTATGTATTTTAACGAGTTAAAAATAGGATACGTTTTGGGAATTACAGTTAAAAGAAAGAAACTTTGTGTTTCCTAAATCGAACCCAAAACATTACAGTCAATGACGAAGACGATGCTACAACTCGAGTAACAATGTACCCTTTCAAAATATAGCAATAAGATAAACTTGCCTCATTGGCCGAGTGGTTGCAAGTGCGGCTGCCGGACAAGGGGTTTCGGGTTCGATTCCCGGGTCGGGCAAAGTATTACTGGGTTTTTAAAAAAATCTCAGTAGTAGCACGAAGTCTGGAATTGTGCCCGGTATATGGCACTATTATGAGACATAACATAAATAGTGAAAAGTGGGTGTTACATTGTACAGTGGCATAATGTACACCTCTGCCTACCCCTTCGGGGATAAAAGGCGTGATGTTATGTTATGTTAAGATAAAGTTCACAAACCTGTATGTCCTAAATCAGCGGCGGAGGTCGCGACCGCAAAAGCGACGAGGAACAGAGCTAGAACCACGCAAGGCTTCATGACTGAAACCTTTCAAAGTGTGCAGAACTTTCCAAGCTCCACCTTATTTATACTATCCCAGACCCACGTATAACTTCACCCAAACTATACCACCAGATCGATAAACAACACGACCAAATCCAAATACATTTCACTTAAACATACATTGCCGCTAAACTATTCCCGTAACGTATTAACAGTTGTGTTCAGACGGAAATGGATACCGCAGAAATAGTCCCATGCAATCAGTCGCCTCACACTATATGCCAGCACATTAATATTGTATGTGGAGGGAATACCCTGAGTCAATTGCTCTGGCATAGAATTGCAAGTGATACATTCCGTATTCGTCATTCAATTTACCACTATATCAGAACGAGATTAAAGTTGATTATCCTTTGTTTGTATGAATCTTTTAACAGGGTGATGTTTATTTGGTATTGCGAACAGTTATCATTGTGAGTTCTTGTTATCTGTGGGTTAGTTACCTCTAGAGGTAAATATTCAGTTTACTATGTTTGTCATTTATTTTCCTGTTAACTTTTTGTTTGACATTGCATTGCTAATTGTTTTCAGTAAGCTATATGCTACATACAGTATGTCATTTGTTATCTAAGTATATTATGGTGCAAGATAAACTGATATTTTTACACGTATGAATAATTCTGTCAACTGTTTATAAATTCTTATATTATGTATTCATTCCATCTTGTAATTGTTTCATGAAGAGGTGAATGAACTTTTATTGTTTAAGATTGATCGTGATCCTTATTCCTGGTTTACTTGTCTAGATTTTTTTAGTGCATTAAGTTTTGAGTTAACGTTCCGGGTTTAACGGTGTCATACTAATACCTTTTTTTTGTTTACAACTTCGTTGACACAACAAATATAACCTATAAAACATCTTCAGGTTGTTACACCACATTACAAAAAACCAAACGTATAACTTAATTTGTTAAATATGTGTAAAAAAATAAATAAAAAAAGAAAGTTCATATCAATTACAACAGGCATTTGATAAAATTCGCCTTTTAAGCAATGGATTGCTTGTGATAGGAGACTCCACATTACCACCTGTCATTCTAGGTAATAGGGTAGTGTCCTACATTTTCTTTTAATGTCCAATTGGTACATTAATTAAAAACTTTAGACACGTATTTTTTCTTTCGATGACATATTAATTTGAAATATCGTGTGACGTCACAGCGTGTCACATTTTGTAGCACGTTATGACGTAGCGACCTCCTAAACTCTTAAACTTAGTGCTATTTTATCTAAGTATTGCAACTTAATACGAGAAAATAAAAAAATACGTGTCTAATATTTTTTCATTATCTAACTGACGGACTAATTAGATTTTTAATTTTGATACCCTGGACACGACCCAATTGAAGATACACTGTAGATACTATAAACATGCAACAATAAAACAAGAAAATAAAACAAGTTAAAAGTGTTTTACGAAACACCTCACTTATGCATGTGGCTGCAAGTGTGACTGCCGGACAAAGGGTCTTGGGTTCGATTCCCGGGTTGCCCAAAGTACTACTGGGTTTTGTAAAATAATTGTCAGTAGTAGCACGGAGTCTGGAATTGTACCCGGTATTTTTTTTTTTTTAAGGGGGGAAAATCATCGAATGACTGCTCCCGCCTGAGTGAGGCGGGAGGGAGTGTCAGACTCTTACTGACTAAAAACCACCCCGTTCCTTCTCCTGCACGTCGAGCCGGAGCCCCGGTTACCCGTTAGGTTCTCCGCGACTCCGAATCGGCATCGGCCCTATTGGGCCCCATCTGTGGTGGTCTGATGGCTCTTTGAGGCGCGCGCGGAACGCGACGCGCCGTACGCTCGGGTCTGTTTCTGGTCGGACGGGGAGCCACCCATGCTCGCCGTCCGCAGGCCCGCGCTTACGGTGGCCGGAGATCGTGTACCCGGTATATGGCTATAGGCTCGCCCCCTATTACATGGGACTCATAACGTAAATAGTGAAAAGTGGGTCTTCCATTGTACAGTGGTATTAACAGCTGTCATGTGCACATCTGCCTTTCCCTTCGGGGATAAAAAGCGTGACGTTATGTCATGTAATTTATTTTTTACGTACTTTAAGTAATAATAATTTATAGTGATTAAGTAATGGTAATTCTGTTTAGCATAATGAATCCAATTCACCAAATACTGAATCTGTTTGTATAGTGAAAGACAATATTGTAATGACTCAACGTTTGTCGTCCTGTCGAGGATCGAGGGATGGGATTAACTTGATTTAGTATTAATAGCTAACTCTCACTAAACAAACAGTTCCTGGTGGTGTTGTGTGAAACATTACCTTCTGTTGGTGAAAGGATTAAGTAGTTCGTATTGTTTAAATAATTCTTTTATAAATTAAGTTTTACAATAAATGACTTTAATACCCTCGGTTTTTTTAAATTAATATACTAACCCCTTCTCCTGAGTAAAACAAAACACTTTTCGGAAAACCGCATAAAAATAGATTCAGCCAATCGCGGAATAATCGCGCACAATCATAAATACAATATACAGAGGCCTTAGTACGAGTTTGTTATACGTTTAAAGTATTCGAAACGAGTACGCGTTCGGCGTTCTGATTGGTTGTTTCATTCGAGCTGGCCAATCAGAGCGCAGAACGCATACTCGTTTCGAATACTTTAAACGTAAATCAAACTCGTACTAAGGATTAATTTCTGGTAAACGCTCAGCACTTTTATTGTTCCTGTCTTCATTTCAATCCATCCGTTGGTTCATGCTTTCGATGGTTAATTAGATCAGTGAATAAGAACATCAGGATGAAAATCTATGGATTAATATAGACAGAACAGCTAGGATAAATATTTACAATTTATCATTGACAGTGATATACTTCTATTCTGGTTTCAATTACTAGAAAAGAAAAAGTAAGTACAGTACAACGTAACTCATTATCTTTGTTCCGAGGGTCGCCCGTCACTGAGTATCTAAACATGATTATATTATTAACTTATACTATCATTATTCAGTTTGCTTTGTTCAGTGAATTTTTCTGCAACAGACAGTATTAAAAGAAATACGGTAAAACGCCTCGGGCCCAGAATAAACTCCCTTGTACATAATTATAAAATATGCCATTCTACAAAGCAAGATTTATCTGTTACTCTCTGCCAGTATGAAATATTTTTCCTCTTTACTTTAGAGTTTTTTTAATGGAATAATGTTGAAGTTAATTAATTATGACGTTTCTACATTTTTTATTTATAAATAGGATTGTCTGTTGCGTTTGTATTCTGCTTGTGACCATTTGCTTATTTCAATTTGCTAAAAAATGTCAGGTTGGCATTGACAGTCAATTGCCATAAGTTTAAAGAATATTTATTAAATCCCATCCTTTAATCCGAGTTTCTTGTTTACAGACAAAGTAAATAAAAAAGCAGACGTTTCGTTTGTTCAGTCGGAGGTCAATGACGACTCATCCTACAAAAATCCTTTCATTTTTAGACCGACACACGAACCAAAATCAGCTCAATCGTAATTTCATGAAAATCAATTTTGTGGTACTACTGATTAATGTAGGAATACTGAAACGCTACTCAATTTTAAGTCGTGCTTAAGTATAGTTCTATCTCTACAAATTCTTTGTGAAATGACAGAGATGGCACGATATTTGAGCACGACTTAAAATTGAGTAACGTTTCAGTATTCCGGCATAAGTGGCACAAAAAAGACATCCTGTAGATTAAAAAGGGTTGTGTTATCTTTTATTAGTTTTGTAGTAAACAAAAGAACACAATATCACTATAAGAGGACTAAAGATAAACAATAAAGGCTGAGGCAATATGAAATCTTCTTTTTATTGAAGTAATTGTAATTTTTCTAAGTGCTTGCCAGTTGAGAAACAATATCCGTCTCGTGGATAACTGGGGACATAGGATACAGGGCCAGAGTTAGTAAGGTTATAAAAAAAGATTATGATGTATAGTATACTCCTTGATAAAAAATATTTCATTCTACCTTTTTGAATGATAATTATGTTCTTCTCAAGGCCCCGTACAGTGCCCGTTTTGATCATAAACTCATCCTTACTTTTTCTATGCGATATCTTCTATGAAACTCTTAACTAAACTAGTACAAAGTTGGTATCACATTGTGTATGCGTACTTCTATTATTCAGGGATTAAAAATAATACGTGACGTTATCTATCATGGTACCTACGATTTTTTTATGTAATAGGCCGGTAAACGAGCTGACGTATCACCAGATGGTAAGTAATCGGCGTCGCCCATGAACACCTGGAAACCAAAGGCGTTGCAAGTGCATTACCGGCCTTTTGGGAACTAGGAATTTGAGGATTGTTGTAGAGATAGGGGAGGGAGGGGTAACTGGGCGTCCGGTAACCTCACTTACACGGCAAAACACAACGCAAGGGTTGTTTCACGTCGTTTTTGTGTGAGGCCGCGGTATCACTCCGGTCGAGCCGGCCCATTCGTGCCGAAGCGTGGCCCTCCCACACTTAGTACCACTCCCAGATAACCAAACAGCAGGATGCCGTATACCTAATAACTTTCGTTTAAAACCAAATTCGAAAGACGCGTGGGAAGTAAGAACACCATATCACTTACTCTATCAATGTCCCTAAGAATGCTTTGACGTCAAAAGATTTGTGAGCCCAGACGGAAAATCGTTTCTGCTCAGAACTTTATCAGCTAATTTAGGTCCTTAGGCTTTAGCATTTCTTGGAAAAATAAAACGATCCAGACATAATACGACGTGAACTTGTATAAAAAGAAAATATTTATATTTTATCTAGTAAAAAAATAAGCTGAAGTTATCTTTCTAGAAATTCTGTATTAAGTAGACCAATAATAATTTATGAAATTAGATAACTTGTGAAATTAAGTTATATAAGCTTAACTGGTAATTATTTACGGGTACAACATTTTATTTAGAAAATTTTGGCGACTTATTAATGCGCAAATCACTTATTGAGCTGGAATCATTAACCCATTGAAATAATATCTTATACTTTCCTATATATATAAAAATTAAAAATATTAGGTATCTGCTAAAAATAT